GGGTTTTGAGAATTTAACTCCATAACATTTGTTTTGTTATTATTTCTAACTTTGAAAAGTACTGTTACTTTGTATTTATTCTTTGAAAACATCACACATGTATATAATGTAGTTTGATCATTTGTACCCCTATTCCAGCTCATTCCAGACTCCCCCACCATGTCTTCTTCCCAACTTCGCATCTTTTCCTTTTCTCCCACTGACTTCTATTAGTGTTTCTAGTGCATGTAGGGAGTAGGGCCATCCACTGGACATCTTAACATGAAAGGAAACACTGTACTGCCATCTGCTGGGGCTTAAAACTATGACAAGCAAAACGAATTCTGAAATTTCTTATGCTTTCTATAAAATCAATAGGGAAAATCAAATATTTGTATCATGTATCCACCAACCAAAATATTGTTTGAGGACATTTGTAAACAGGGTTATGGAACATATAAATAACTAAATTAGACTTTTAAAAAACTGGCTCTGATTAAAATGAGCATAAACCATTGGGAGATAAATGGAAAAGTTAACATCTAAAAAACAGCATTAAAAATTAGAGCTGTTTTCAATGGCAGAGTAATCTCATTTAATAAAACAAAATAGAAATAAATATATTTATTAAATACAAATGCACATTATGCTTAAAATATAAGAGCTATTTATCAATTAAGTCATTTATTTACTGTGTCCCAATTCACAAAAGGCATTCTATTTGATTGTATGTCAGAAACTCTAAGTAAATAAATAAATGGGTAAAAGCATTTTCTTGCATGTCTGTTATTTTTCCAGAGGCCCATAAAATTCTATGTATTTAGTGCTTGGAAAAATAGATTTGGGGACATAGGTAGGAATGTAAGTAACTTGTGCTGTCTTGATGCTGTCTTTGGATCTTTATTTCCTGAAGCTCTACAGGTCTCTCTATTTGTCTGTCAACTCTTAAAGCCTCACTGGCAAAAGATGGTGCTTGGGGCCCTGTGATTCCTGTGCTGAGTGATTTTATGTCAACTATACTCACTTTCTTGTCATTTGAAAACATAATGTCCCAAGCACGTTGGCCTGTGAACAAGTGTGTGGTGCGTTCTACTAATTAATGATTTTTTTTTGTGTGTGAGGGGGGGGTCCAGCCCAGTGTGGATGTTGCCAGCCCTGGGCAGGTGGTCTTGGGACATATAAAAAAGCAGACTGAGCAAGTCTTGGGAAGCAAATCAGTAAGCAACACTTCTCTATGTCTTCTGCACCAGTTCGTGACTCCAGGCTTCTGTTCTATTTGAATTCTACCAATCTGCCTCAGTGATAGACTGTGTTGTGGAACTGTAAGGTGAGGTAAACCCTTTCCTTTCCAAGTTGCTACTGGCTTTGGTGTTTTTATCACAGCTATAGGAACTCCTGCTAAAACAGTCCCTGTAGTGATCAGGGACTGTTGGGTGGGTTAATACCCACCCATTTTTTATGGCTATTTATGCAAAGACATTTTACAGGGTGGAGATAAAAGACAAAAGGAAAAAAAATATTTATGTCACAGCACATCCTCTGTTCTCACAGATCTTGATGCGGAAGAATAGTCCATTAGGGCGCAGGTATATGTTGGTCTGAGGGTGGTTACAAACTCCCTACATAGCTGACAGTGACCTTGACGCTCTGAACATCCTGCTTCCAATGTGAGAGTCCAGAGAATGTAGGTGTGCAACAACACACCCATGTTATGTGATGCAGTGAAAAGTAACTAGCCGGGTGAACAGTGGGCCGCATGGTTGCATTCTAATTAGTTTTAATGAGGTGATAAGAGTGCAATGAAGGCACTGGACAGTAGGCAGAGGCTGAAACCAGTTTCACAGGAGAATTCATGTTTAAATCAGGCTCTGAAGAATTCCTGGACAAGACTGAATAGACAAGCATGAAACATATGTGTTCATGTGGCAGGAAGACATGGAAATAAGGCACACAGAAAGGTCCAATTTATCTAGAAGTGATGATGGTGAGGGCATGCCATAAGAGAGCGAAGAAGGCTTGGAAGTACCAAAGTGGTCCTTTCTCAAATAAAGATCGCCGCGTACTAGTTAGTGGGTAAAATCTCTACATCCCTGACTTGAGCAGTTCCACCAACAGCACAGTTCTCCCTAGATTCTTTTGGCCAACCATCATGTCTTTCACAAAAACTGCCTATTGCTCCCCCCACCCCTTGAATCCCCAACCTCTACCACACATCAAATTAGTGGCAAGATATCTCATTTTGTGCGAAAAAGAGAAAACTCACAGTATGGAAACTTCCATGTGTTTCCTGAATCATTGCCTGAACTGTCAGTAACAAAGAACTAGAACAAGCTACAGTATGGGAAGCCTTCAAGCCTATGAGCAGGTGCCCAGAAGAGCCCCTCCAGGCATACTGCAGCAACCAAAAATCAATCTGTGTAATGTGGCCTTAGCTCTGGTCACTTCCCTCAAGTGCTCCAAATTGGTTAGTAAACTTCACAGTAATTGGCAACAAAGGCAGCTGAACAAAAGAACATAATCCACATGGACTTTTTACCTGTTATCATATAAAAATTCTCTTTGGCAGAATTTATTATAGTACTAATGCTGGGTATATGATGCATGTGTTTGTTGATTTTTCTCAAACTCTATCTTCAAGGCATATAAAAATGAGAGTAAACTTAACATCCCTGAAAGACATATTCATAATAAATTACTGCTTGGAAACTGCAGTTTTCAAGTTTAATTGCCTCGTTCCTCTCTATAAATCTATAGTGTCCTGCTGTATGAGGGAAATAAAGGAGAGGTATGATTCAGGACTCACGTGCTACATGAACTAAATGCAAAACGATATGATATTTCACTACCTAGTTACCTGACAATAATTCCTTATGCATTGATTAAGGCAATTTAACAAAATGAAATAGTTGAAAATGTTTTGTGGTTGCATAAGTTACCAGATGAAAAACGATCACGACCAATTTGAAATCATGTTTGAAATCTAGTATTAGAAAAAATTCTTTCTTTTAGAATAATATGTAGTTGCTGCTATAATATTCTGCCTTGTCATCATTCTGATGTTAGTCATTAGGAGCAGAGTGAAGTGACCTAATTAGTTCTGTCCACCTCTGTGTGAGTTGCTGAGCATGTCTTATCAAGAGTGAGCAGTTTGATATAAACTTTTTATGTGATACTAAGAATTGTAAACTAGAACTTAGTGCATGCTTGGTAAATTCAGTATGAGATACAACATTTTATATTACTTCTTCATCTTTATTCTGACATCACTTGCTTATTTCTAACAAGAAAGAGAGGCCCAAGTATGTGTTGACCATATTCTTGTAACTCAAATGAAGGGGTACTTTGCCTTGTTTTCTGCACCTGCTTTTTCTTCCTCCTGAAGGCACTGGACATATGCTCAGCTAGATTTCACTATTGCTCCACTGTTTTCTTCAGCATAGTTCAAGGCTTTCTTTTGTTGTCATATATCTACTGTTTATTGTCCCATCCCTGAGCCATTCCACGTATATCCCTTATAAATATTTTATGCCTCTAAAAGGACCGCAGTAACTCAGTTAGATGAAACATGTAACGAATCTATAAACTGACAAATGGAAAACAAGACATGAATTTATATGCTTGTTACTTTATTTTTAAGTTTCAGGAAGAATATCTTGCAACGTTTTAACTACCTTTTCAGTTTAGTTTTAGATGAATGAAACTCAGTTATTGAGCTATTTTTTTCAAAGTCAATTATTGTTATATGAAGTGAATGTGTAAAATGTGGTTTTGGAACATTTAGTATTTCTTCATATTGCAAAAATGAATGTGGGGTAAGTGACAATTTTCCATATGTTGGGCTGCTCTATAGCTGTGCCTAAACGTAATTGTGGGTATTGTCACACAGTTATGAGCTTTCCATGGGCTCCACAGTTGTTATTATTGGCAGCAAATCATTTTAACTAATGAATCATGCTTTGTTTTGCATTTCCAACATTGCACCAGTTCTCTTATTCCTCTGGTGGGTCTGACCAGTGATCAAATGTACTTGTCAGACCCACATGTGAAATAAGAGAACTGACTCTCAGGAGTCATCCTGACTTCCATATGTGCACTCTGACACCTGTATTCTTGTACTTATGGGTTACATAAATTAGTACATATAAAAATGGCATTCTGGAAACTATCTTATACTATACTCTTACTGAAAAAAAATGACTGAATGAATCCAAAAGTACTTTGTGACTAATTTATGACAGTACTTCATTCACAGAACAGCCCTAAATTGGATGCAGTAAATACAGTCAAAAGAAACTATCTCAGTATCTGATGAAACTGGCATCTTTTCAAGAAAACCCTCCAGTCCTAGTGGTTACATCTCTGGCAAGTGGTGATAACCATAGTTTTAAAAATCAGAATGCAAGAGTAAGTCAGGCAACTAAGGTATTAGCCCCCAATATCTAACTATGTTTGTTAAATTTTATGTTTCAGCTGCAAACTAATTCCAATTTTTCTTCTGAAAGAGTATTAAACTATTGAAGCATCAGGTAATTTCCAAATATTAGTGAAAACCTAAAAATATATATATTTTTATTAAGCCTTAGTTGAAGGTGCCATAGAAGTGCTGACTATTAGTTTATCTGAAAAAATAAATAAAATTAAAATAATTTATATATTTTAAGTGGATATTAGCTATTTGTTATTTATTTTCTCTGTACAATATTTTACCTTGGCGGTTTTAGCTTATTGTAAATTAGTAGTCCATGTTAATTTATTGTATATCATTTTATACAGATATAGAGATATAAATATGTTTTATTTTAATTTTTACAGCTATTTGTAATTGACAACTAATTGTGCATATTTATGATAATCACACAATACTATAAGAACTCACCTGAAGTTGTTGCAGCAATTGCTGTTGAGAAGTTACCCAAAGATGCTAGAAGAAAGCAAAGTTGATTTGATACTTGGGTTTATGATATAAATTTAATCTCAAACATGGTTACAGCTTAAGCCAATGTGACACTGAAAGAACTCACCTGAAGTCGTTACAGCAATTACTGTTGAGAAGTTACCCAAAGACGCTAGAAGAAAGCAAAGTTGATACTTGCGCTTATGATTTAAATTTATTATAAAACACAGAGTTCGAGTAGGTTTTCATTTCACTTAGGCTGTAGATGCTGCTGCTTTTGTGGCACCCTATTGTAAATATGCTATTAAAACTCACCTGAAGTTGCCAGTGGACTGCAAAGATAGGTGATATTGCAATAATATCACGTATTAAAAATGTTATGTGTACTGTTTAATGTTCAATCCAATGGGGCTGGAGAGATGACTCAGAATTTAAGAGCACTGGTTACTGTTGAAGAAGACTTAGGTCCCCTTCTCAGTACCCACACAGAGGTTCACAGCCATCCGTGACTTCTGTTCTGAGGGATACGGCACCCTCTTCTGACCTCAATGGATACCAGGCATGCATGCAGCATGCATACAGATAAGCAGAGAAATCATCCATTAATAAAATAATATGAATGCATTTAAATATAGTATTTTATATGATTTTAGCTTACTATGAATTATTAGTGTATATTAACTCAGATATGCCCTTTATATCTACACCAAATGATGTCTTTTATGATTCTTAAAATTTGTTTTATAGCTATTAATTCATTGCTGAATAATTGTGTACATTTATGGAGTTCAATGTGATATGACCTTCATAGTGCTGTTAGATACTGATCTCACCTGGTCAATACAGGAATTTCTGCTGTGAGAACCCAAAAATGCTTTAAGAAAATAAAGCTGATTTGACAAATGATTTTAGTGAAGTGGTGGCACATGTCTTTAATTCCAGCACTCAGAAGGCACAGGCAGGTGGATCTTGTGAGTTCTAGGCCAGCCTGGTCTAAATGAGTTCCAGGACAGCCAGGGATACACAGAGAAACCCTGTCTTGAAAAACAACAACAACAACAATAATAATATAATAATTGTTTGGCTCTTTTTTGCATTTATTTTTTCATGATGTTCTTCAGTTTTTAACATGTTTGTTTCTAAAACTAAGAGCCCTAAATGCATACACCACAATTGAAACCAAAGGATGTCTTTCATGAAAAAGGTTCTTGTCACCCTTATAATGACATGAATTTAATCCTTGGAACTCACAAGGTCGAAATGGAGTTTTCCTAGACTTCTGTAAGTGTAACATCACAGGTGTACACCTACAAGCACATGCTCACACATGAACATAAACATATGCACACACATTCACACTTTCCCACAATAAATCATAAATAAATCATAAATAAAATGAATTATAATGTTACTGAGGCAGACCTGAAGTTGTCATAGAACTGCTGGTGGTCAGCTTATCTGCAAAGATAAGTAAGATTAAAATGATTATTATGTATTTTAGACTGGCTATAAGGACATTAACATACATATCATATGTAAAATATTTCATCTAAGAACGTTTCAGCTTATGGGGACTTAATACTTAAGTATCTGAGTCTAAGGATAAACCTTTTATATTTTATTTCAATGTTTTACAACTATTTTAGTTGAAGGTAATTTTTGCATATTTATGGGATTCAATATGATGTCTTGACTGCATGTATCTTTGTGCACCGTGTGTGTGTGTGTGTGTGTGTGTGTGTGTGTGTCCATGGAAACAGAAGCAACCTCTGGTTGTGCAGTTATGCACAGTAGTACCTATTAGGTGTGTACTGGAACCCAACTCTAGAATTCTGCCAGAGCAGTAGGCACTTTTAACCATTGAGCTATCTTCCTATCTTCCTATTTATTCTTTTATGTCTTCTTAAGTGTGAAAAATGGGTTTTACAGAAAATTAAATAAGATGATTATTGGTTCAAATATGTACTATATAATACCTGTCTCAGTTATTGTGGAAATGTCATAATTATGGATAACACTAAAAGTGTTATTATGATCTTTTGAAAATTTCTATTTCTTAATGATAAGATTGACATTTAGGATAACTTTTGCAATATTCAAGAGAAGACTAGAAATCACACAGTTTTCAGGATGCTGATTTCAGAGAATTTATAAAAGAAGGTACCTGGTAGATTTGGTTAGTTAGCAGAACTACAATGATTTTTCAGATTTCTGGTAGCTATTTTAATACTTTTTCATTAGTGATTAAGGTAAATAATATTAATTGTAATATATATATAATTTTTCAAAACAATAATTCTAATAGTGATGATACTTTGATGAGACATGAGAAAGTTCTAAATATTATGAGCAGGCATGGAAACTTAAATAAAAGAGACAAATTAACGAATGCTGGATCAGTTCGTACTACAGTTTGGTTTTCTTTTTCCAAAAAAGTGTAATATATATTCTTTAAATTATTGTTTTAATGGATATGTCTCCAGACCCTCATGACATGGGTCAATTATGGAATCATACACATACCATATAAAATTTAAAATAAAACAGGACTACTGAAATCAGAAATATCCATTTCTATAATTTAAAAAAGCAGCATGTGAGAGAAAGAAGGCCATATGACAGAGCTTGGGTGGAAGGGTTTTAGGGTTTCAGAAGAGGAGAGAGAGACAGAGAGAGAGAGAGAGAGAGAGAGAGAGAGAGAGAGAGAGAGAGGAGGGAGGGATGAGAGAGGAGAAGGGATGGAAGGAGAGAGACAGGGGAAGGGAGACAGAAGGAGATACAGAGAGACAGGCAGAGAAGCAGAGGGGGGATGGGAGGTGGGCAGGTCCCCTTTAAAAGGAAACATAGTGAATATGCACATATGGTGCTCTTAGTGGCTGCAGAAGAAGATGTATCTTGTCAGAACCCCAAGGACAGGCCAGTACAGACTCCTGAATACTAACACCCATCTTTGGCATAAATAAGTAGGTATTATTAATTCTCTCAGTGATATTACTCCTAATGAAAATATGGCTCATATTATAAATCAAAGAATAAGCATCATAACAAGGTGCAGAAATAAAATACATTACATTCTAATGTCATGAAGTTGATAACCCTGAGTTGTGGTCAGCCAAAATGGCTTAATCAGTAAAGCCACTGTCAAGCCTGCATGTGGAACTGAGTTCAGATCCTCAGGACACTTCTAAAAACCTCTGATCTGGAGCAAATTGGAAGCATGGGGGGAGGGGAGAGGGAGCTAGGAGAAAGAGAAGGGGGAGAACAGGAGGGAGCAGGAAGGTTGAGTCGAGGGAAGAATAGAGGAGAGCAAAAAAAAAAAAGATATTATAATAGAGGGAGCCATTATAGCTTTAAAGAGAAATCTGGCACTAGGAAAATGTCCGAAGATCTACAAGGATGACACCAACTAACAATCTAAGCAACAGAAGAGAAGCTACCTTAAATGCCCTCCCCTGATAAAGAGATTGATGACTAATTTATATGCCATCCTATAGCCTTCATCCAGCAGCTGATGGAAGTAGAAGCAGATACCCACAGCTAAACACTCTCCAGTTGCAGAGAAGGAGGAGTGATGAGCAAAGAGGTCAAGCCCAGGCTGGTGAAACCCACAGAAACAGCTGACCTGAATAAGGGGCAGCTCTTGGTCCCCAGACTGATAGCTGGGAAACCAGCATGAGACTGATCCAGACCCCATGAACGTGGGTGTCCGTGGGTGTCGAAAATCTATAAGGCCTCTGGTAGTAGATCAGTATTTATCCCTAGCATATGAATAGACTTGGGGAGACTGTTCCACATAGAGGGATACTCTCTCAGTCTAGACACACCGAGGAGGAACTAGACCCTGCTCCAAATGATCTAACAGATGTTGAAGATCCCCCATGGAATGCGTCACCCTCCCTGGGGAGCAGAAAGGTGATGGGGTAGGTGGTTAGCGGGAGGCAAGGAAGGAGGGGAGGGAGAGGGAACTGGGATTGACATGTATAACAAGACTGTTTCTAATTTAGATAAAAAAAAACCAAAAAACAAAACTCAGGTTTGGTTGTATACAACACCCTAGAGATCGGGTGTGGTGAAAGCCGAGGGTCCCCAGAGATTGCTATCTGGGAGCTCAATATTCTCATCTCAAAACAAAATTTAAAGCACTGATGGAAGACACCATTCCTCAACCTCACGTTTATACATGTTCATAGACATTACTGTGGACTAGTAAGTAAAAAAAAAAACACACACACACACACACACACACACACACACACACACACACACACACACACACACAGGCACGCAGATATGCAGGCACGTGCCCCCCCTCCCCCCGCCCGCACATACAGTGTTGGAAATACAAACACTGACCTGAAGTTGTTACAGGGAATGCTGTTGAGAAGTTATCAGAAGATGCTGGAAGAAAGTAAAGATGATTGTATACTGCCTTAGAATATATCTGTATTATCAAAACATTGAGGACAATTTGCTTATTTCTTGGAAGGGCACCTGATGCTGAGAGTGCCACTTTACTTGCTCTCAGGCTATTGCTTTTTGTTATGTGCCTATGATACTTTAGATAAGGTTTTGCAACTGCTTAATCAGTTTGTGCAATTTGCCTAAGTTGAGTTTGCTTCCTTTTGTATTAATTCAAGAAAAGTACCTATTGATTTATGCTACAGTTATGTGGAATAGTTTATATTCAACTAATAAACATTTCCTATTAGAAGTTGCCAATCCCAAGACTAATAGTAACCAATTTAAAGTAAGATATATTTTAAGATATGAAAAAGCAATATAAAACATAAATATCTAAAATTATGCTTGTTTTATAGATGTGTTTTAAGACAGCTCAATACATCAAATACAGCACAGTTTTGATTTGAGAATATTTTTCATTCACTGTTACCATAAGGTTTGTGGTATGTGTAAGACAGACTAAAGTCAACTCAAGAGGGTATTATTTTCTATTTTCTTTAACTTTGAACTGACCTCTCCTTCATTGATAATCAAGAAAATTCCCAGCATACATGACCAGAGGTTCATACAATGGAGGCAATTCCTCAACTGAGGTGGTTTTCCCTATTCAGGCATCTTAAGCTGTCCACTGATGAGAACTGTGGCATTAAAAATACCCGTGGTGTACATTTTTAATCCCAATGCTTGAGAGGCAGAGGCAGGCAGATCTCTGTGAGTTTGAGGCCAGCCTGGTCCACAGAGTGAATTCCAGGACAGCCAGAGCTTTTACACAGAGAAACCCCGTCTCTATAAACCAACCAAACAAACAAACAACCAAACAAAACAAAAAACCCAAAATCCATATACATATGTTTGTAGGGTATATATAGCCTACAAAGCACATACAGTAACCTACTTTCTCCAGCCATGTCCTACCTCCTAATAGCTCACTCAACAGGATCTCATTAATGAGTTAATCCTTTGGTTAATTTAGCATTTTCCTTATCCAAGTATCTTTCAAACATTGTATAAATGCAAGACCATTTCTTCAATAGGAACATTTTAAGAAAAAAATTCATGGGCAAGCCTGAGAGTTTCCATAGACACATTGTCTGGGTATTTAAAAATAATTTATTATTTTGTATGATTGTGTGTTCATGTGTGTTTGTGGGCATGGCGTCAGATTTCTATTTCAATTTTAGGTTCAGGGGATTTAACTCAGGTTATCAGGTTTGCACAGCCACCTGCTGAACCCTCTCCCTGCTCTCTATTGTTAGTTTTAACTTCCATGCTTTTCTCCCTTTGTGTATTCTTAGGATAAAAATGTTTTATCACTTTAAGAGGAAAGTTAACTTTTTCAATAGGAAATCGGGTTGGATTACATTTATTAATCCATCTTTTGTCTTCTTTTCAATTTCTAATTAGACATTTGTCCTTGCCACTTGACTATAATCTCCTAAGGTCTGTGACTCAATCAAAAATTCTCTAATTTGACTTTCTAATGAATGGCTCCAGATCACACTTGACCAATAGATAGAATGTGACAAGACTCGCAAACATCACTGGCCCCTGACATTTTCAGAATCTTTTTATATTTTCTAGTTTCCCAAACCTCTCCTCACTGATACTTCCCTTCAAATATTTCACTTTTCTCATGTAAATGTGTTACCTCAGGCGATCCTACATGCTCCTAAAGCCAAGGACGATTCTCCTGTCTCTCTCCTATAATGCTAGAATCTTAATTTCATAGCTTAATGATTCAAAGAAATCAAATAATGTTCACAGATACCTGTGATTTCAACACTGTTCAAGTCAATATGGAGAATGACCAGTTGGCTGGATTTATTTGCTTCAATGCCTTGAATCAGCTCTTCTTTTACATTTTCATCTGACACCCACTGAGCAAAAAAAAGGTCGAAAAGGACTATAACGCTGCCATTTCTGCAAAGCAATAAATAAATAAATAAATGACATAAGAGTAAAAAATCAGGCATCTTCAAGTGATTTGTTCTCAGTTCAGGAAAAATGTCTAAAATTTGCTCTTAGTTGTTACATGACCTCAGTCCTGATTACCCCTCTGTATAGAACAGTATAACTCCTGCTCAGCAACACCTTTTTACAAGAAAAGAATAGATATGCCAAGTATTACCCTTAGTTTATGATGGAAGGAAAGAATAATTTAAATCTTCAGTATTTTCTCAAGTGCAAAAATGCTGAAGTAAACCCAACATTGGAATCGGTGTGCAGTATGACACACAGGAACACAGTGCTATTCTCTAGTCTCTTGTGTCAAATCAAGTAATGTCACACAGTGACCGGTCATTTTACTGTTTGAAGGAATGAAGAGTGTGAGTTTGCAATGTGTCTGGTGGCTTCTTTGGGCAAAATAAGTCTGACATAACTTCCTTCATGCTTGTTTCAAACGAACTGTACAAATCGAGGATGGCCTGATACTAAGGCTCTGTAAACACTTGTATTTAGATTTCCGTTTTCATTTGTTTAACCGAAATTATTAAAATATGTCTTGATTTTGGTGGGTAGAAAGAAAAGAAACATAATTAGAATTACTGGGCACTCAGGATATTTATTCTTTTAAGAAATTTCTTGTCCACAGGATCTGTTACAATAGAAGAATTCAACCCAGAGGCTTTAGGGAATATTCTCCGGTTTACTTTAAAGCCTCTTGGTATTTTGAATTTTAAATGGTATTTTCTTTTATTTTGTAAAAAGAGATTTAAAAAAGAATCCATTGGGAAACAATAGAGACACTTGACAGATTTTTTTTTTTTTAATTTTGCACCTTTCCGTTAACCTCATGTTTCCTGTTACACCCTTATGTAGCTTACACACACACACACACACACACACACACACACACACACACACATGAGCACAGACACAATAGCTAGCTACTTGGAAGTTTTTGTCCAAGGAAAGAAAGATGTTTTGTTTCTATCTGCCTTCAGTATGTGAAGCTTCCTTTACCTTCCCTTCACCATCATCTCCCTTTTCTCAGTACTTTATCCTTCCCCATTTCCTTCATGTTTTCAAAATCCATCCCCTTTGCCAAACCTGATGGCTTAAGTAGGAACTAGGAGCTGATGGATTACATATGGTTTAAAATAAAGCACGCATGCACAGAATCTTTTATCTACTCTAGTCAGTTCCACGGTTTTACTTTCTCTTTTGTTGCACAAAAGATGATTTATATGGTAATGAAATCCACATCTTCTCTGTATAGTTCTACATATTTAATTATCCAGAACCCTCGACTTTGTGTAGCTTGAATCAGGCGGTAGAAGACACAATGTATTTGGGTAGAGAGAATGCAGTTCTGAAATTTCCCTGCACTGGATTGTAACTAACTAGAATAATTCAACCTCAGGCGTAAACATATTTGTATGAAAGATGTGTCTTTTTAGTTGTGAATTATATATTGCACTTAATAATTTATCTCTATGAGGATAACAGGTCTATATTATAGATACACAAGGGATTGTATCCTTTACAATTTATTTTCATATACAGTATAAATGTTGAGATAAGAAAGACATATAGGAGAAATCAACGAAACCACGATAAGTATTTGTGTTTCATCACATAAGCAGGCAGAAACTTATTTTTGGTAGTTTATCAATGATCTCTATCCGTTCTGTGAGATTTATTTTGTTTATTAAGATAAATGAAAAAAAAATCCTTTAAGGAAAAATAATAGCCATTTTCATTTCAAACAACTTGTTCTAGGTAGAGGAGACACACAGCCCTCCTTTTGTCTCTCCCTTTCTCTCTTCATTAATTTTATAGCCAGATAAATCATAACATTGTACAGAGAGCTTGGCTGTAATAGATCAAAATGCTTCTTATCTCATATTTTCCTTAATGATACTGATAACCTTTAGGTTTGCTGAATAAACACAGCTCTTTCCTTTGAGAACTTTGTGACTCATCTGTGTGCAAAGGGCAAACTTAAAGTGCACATGGTCACCGAGGGCAAACAGCCCTTTATTAGAAAAGTCAACTGCTAATGCTCTGTGAATTAGACATTTTCCACAGGGCAGAATAACAGTACCCCAAATAGAGGAAGACAACAGATTTTTCTCTTCAAACTGTACACACACACACACACACACACACACACACACACACACACACACACTTTTCGAGGTGACAAAATACATAAAATACTTGTAAAATATGATAAAATAGAATGATGACAAAGTTTGATATTCTTAGTGATATATTTTGATGACACGTCATGTGAGGCCACCAAAATTGTAGTATTTAAAAAATATTGTTAGATATATGCTTTTCACAATGGACACTGTTATGTAGAGGAAAAATCAATCATTTCTGTTCCATTATGCCATGATTTCACAAATCAAATAAAAATTGAAATGCTTAGTCTGATGGTGATTTTGCCCCCTTACATATGATTATAGATATTCATTTGTGATTATTTAAGATAACCTGAGACTATGAAGATGATACACAAGCATGATGACTGGAATTTGAATCCCCAACACCCATATAAATGCTAGGAGGTCATTTACTTCCTAAGTGTAATACCAGCATTTGAGGCAAAGATGGGGAATCCTGATAGCAAGTTGGCTAGCTAGTCTAGGTGAGTGGGAGCACTCTGGGTTCAAATGAAAAGAAATATGCGTCAAAGCACACACATACACACACACACACACACACACACACACACACACACACACACACACAGAGAGAGACAGAGAGAGAATTAAATAGCTCTGAGTGCCTCCTTTTTCTCCTTTCCCTGCCTGTATTTTCTGATTTCCCTTTTCCAGGTTGTTATTTCAAAGAAAGTGACAATGCTATGACCTGCCTCCTTCCCATTAATTTTACTTGACTTTATGTCATTTTTTTTTCTAGGCATAAATCTTTGACATTGAGTTGACCATCCCACCTTCATTTAGTCTGAAGAACAGAGGATTCTGGGCTGGAAGGAGGGGTCAGTGGTTAAGAGTACTTCTTGCTCTTGCAGGGGACTGGCATTAGGTTCCCAGCACCCACATGATTGTTAGAAATAATATATAACTTCAGTTCCAGGGGGTACAAGGCTTTCTTCTGACCTCTTTGGTCAGACCCCATTGTCTCATAAGGAGAGAAGAAAACAATTCCATCACGTCTTGAGGGTTGCATTTTGTATGACTGCACAAAGTTCTGACTGAGCTGGGGAGAAAAATGCTCACTTAGAAAAGTGTGCCAGTTAAGCATCACTGGAGATGTGCCAGGCACTGGAGCTTAGCAGTTGCTACGAAGGAAAGGAAGGACACCGAAGAGAAAAATGGGAGTCCAGCTGAGGAGAAACGACACAGAAGAATGAAAGATGGTTGTGGGGGATGTATGCATGATGCATTAGATCAGCAAAAACAAGAGTAGCAAGGATCTATGGAATCCACAGGAGTGCCTGAGACAGTACATAGGAACACACCTGTATTCAGAGTGGCAATGCTATAGAGTCTTCCAGAGCTGAAAACCCAAGGTATGAGTAGGGAACTAAACTAAGTCTCCAAAGTGTCCCACTGCAGCCTCATCAGTGGATGAGAATGCAGAAAACCTGCATTGAGCTGAGGGGAAAAAAACTTCTTTCTAGTAACTGAAATTAGAAAATATACAAGACATAGTGCCAACAATGACTGCTTAATGGTTTTCTGATGTCCATAGCAACCATAAACGAACGACTTTGCATACATGCTGTTTGAGAGAATTAATTTTAAGTAGTATGGATATTTTCCACTTACAGAAATTGAATGAACTTGTGTCTAAAGCTCTGAAACTAACAAAGCAGCCAATCAAAGGTTAAGTGAAGTTATCTTAAATCCTTTATATGTCCTTGAACTATTACAAAGTATGGATGCATAATTTATATGAATCACTACTTAGTAACATTAGACATTCCTGGATGTAGGTATATCTCTTTAACAGTATTTTCACTTCCTTGAAAGAGGGATTTTTAAACATCATTGTCATCGCACCTTAAGAGACTAGTTATTATTAATTAATTAATTAATTAATTAATGGCTGCATGTACTTATCAGTCGATGCCTCGGTAACTCTTTTAGGTAGGAAATTAAAAACTTTATAAGCATCCCAAATGTAGGAAGGTCGAGACAATCCTCTCAGTGCCTCATCCCAAGAGAGAATGTCTTGATGGTGTTAGTTGTGTGAATTCTTTAATAAAATTCTTTCTCACTATCTTGATTCTTAAAAACTTGCAAATCATGTGGTTGAAAGCAAGGCTCCCCCGTGAGAAAAAAAATAAGAGACATGGAAGCATAAATTGATATTTATTGGCTATTGTTGAGAAGACAAAATATTTGTTTTAGTTTTCCTGGGTATTTTATTCATTTCTTTTGTGTGTGTGGATGGGCATGAATATATGTGTGTGTTCTTATGAACGGATATTTGGGTGTGTGGGTGGGAAGGATACTTGCATACCTATGCAGGGAGCCAGAGGACAACCTCAGCTGTCTTCACTCAGGATGCTGTCACTTTCACTTTGGAAACATCGTCTCCTATTTTATCTGGGTCTCACTGGCTCAAAGTTTGGTTTGCCTAGCTGGCCTCAGAGGCCTGTGGATCTGTTTGTCTTGCCACTATAATCTGGGTATTACAAGTTTGTGCAACCAAAATCTGCTTTGTTTTGCCAATTCTAGACACTGTACTCAAGTCATCAAACCTCCAGGATGTCAAAAACTTCTCTGACTAATCTATTGACCCCACCCACTACTGCCATTTTAATACAATTTGTGTTGATTCTTACTATATACCTATGTTTGCCCTTTGGCATGATTTTGGCCTCTACTTGTGCAATGCACAGGACACTAGTTTATATTTGAATAGTTTCACTTCATTTGCTTTATAATGGATTTTAATTTTGCATTTCACTGTCTCATTCAAAGCTCGATGTTTTCTTTACAGAATGGTGGAGAATCTGACTAAGCTGAAGATTATTTGGGGAAGAGAAGAGAAACACTGTTTCCTATAGACTACAGAAAGTCAAGGTAACAGCTTCCAGCATGTCAGATTGAAGAAATAATTATAAATGCTTTAGTGGAAAGAAACATGGCAGGGATGTGTCATTCTGAGAAGGAAAGGAAAGAAAAAGGAAATGATGGTACAATTTGCAAAATAACAGAAGAGACTTTGACTCTATCTGTGGCACTCTCCTCCCCTGAAAACCTGTATATCACTTTAATTTGTTGATATGTCTTTACGTCATGTCCACAATATAGTTATTGTAGAACCCTTATTGCATCTCCAATTTTTCTGTAGCTTTTATTAGCAAAGCAACCTAAGATTCGTAAAAAACATAAATTTGCATCATATTTGATAAGAAACATAAAGTTAGAATACTCTCCTAGGCTTCTGGATTGACCACCACACATCAGACACAGGCTGGGCTCATTTAATTAATAATCTGATTTATTATCTTTCTACTTTATTGCTCTAACAATTATTATTGGTTTCAGAGAAGAATTTCATTTATATAACTATTTATATAGATAAGATTTAAGACAAAAATACATAGCAAAATAAGGTGCTTCTTATTTCAAAAAGCCCTGTTTTGATTATGGGTTCTATATTTTCCACAGTGTTTGATTCACTGGCTTAAAAATGAGGACACCTTGTGCAGCCTAGATACAGAATGGGGGGGGGCTTGGTCCTGCCTCAGTGATGTGACAGACTTTGTTGACCCTCCATGGGAGGCCTCAACCTCTCTGAGGAGTTCATGAAGGACTGGGGTGGGGGAAGTCAGAGAGGAACTGGATTTATTTTGTAAAATAAGATTGTTTTAAAATAAAAATAATAATGAATGAGGGACTTTGAATAAAGGCTCTGCCATAAGTTTTCACATAGACTGATCAATTTTCTGAAGAAGAAAGCAGGAGGGAAAACAAAGCAAAGGATAAATAAAGGGTATAACTTTCAAATAAAAAGTCAACTTTGAAAATGAACTGAATGAGACATCCAGAGGTGACTGAAACCATTCAGAAAAATGTATCAAAAACTGACATGCCAGTTTATGATGTGTGTGCATTAAGGTTTACATTGCACTGCTTTCTTCTCTGTCTTTAGTAGTGTTTACATACAAATACTACTAAATCTTTTGATACCAGTTTTCTCATTCAAATTGTTTTTGTCATATTTTTTTCATTTTAGCAAATTACAAGACTTTCTCATTTTTTTCTATTTTAGATACAAAAGGTATTGCTCAATTGCATATATTTGTACTTGAATTTTCTAGTTTTTGAGTAGAACGCTACTTTATTTTTTTTCTTTAAATTTTATAGGTTCTCATTAGGAGCACAATCTTCTTTGCTAATTGTGCTGTTCACGTGTATCTCTGTTTCAAAGTCCCTTTGGTCCTCCCAGGTCATAAATCACTAGATTGACTGTGATGTAATCAAGAAGACAGGCCAAGGAGCCCTGGACTTTCGTCTATAGACACAATGATTCAACAGAGATACATAGAAAAATATCTGAGAAAACATTAGTTTTTAAGAGGTTAAATCTCATATTAAATGTTCCTGTAGGAAATGCTATATTTACATACATAATGTAGCTTAATATACCTACACACCAATACATGCTCTAGTTAGAAGTATTCATAGTGGAATTCTATATTATCCTATTAATATGAGACTCATTAATTTACTGAACATTGAAATTATGAATATGTATTTACTATGTGCATAGGTGTGTGTGCAAGTGTGTGTGTGCACAGGTGCCAACATAGGCCAGAAGGGAGCAGATGATGCTATAATTATAGCATTTTTTTCTCTAAGTACAAAAGTTACTCCTCTCTTTTGTGATTTACAATGTAAACAAACTAGGTGACATATTATTTTGCTAATAATTAAGAAGTTTCACATGTCCTTAGCAAATCAAGCACTACATCTCCATGGTATATATTCAATTTTAGTCTTTGCACACATCTCCATAATTTTACCGTTGTATGAGAAACATGTTAATGTATCAATTATCAAATATTACTATTATCTCTTACTAAAAATGAACATTTTTTACTAGAAAACATTTCCAGTTCCTCACACAATATGGGAAATACTTCTATTTTCCTACACATAATGACACTACACATTTGAGCAGAGTGTTGGCTGGGAGCAATGTCTTACCAGTGGGGTGGTTTCAAGAATACTCACTCAAATTGAAAGACCCTCGATTTCTTATATTCATTCTTCAGATTACTTGATTCAAAGATCCCATCTATCTAAAAAGATGAAAACTGGATTAAATTGAATATTTACACTTTTATCAACTTTTTTTATGAAGTACAGGTAATCCATTTGTTTAGAACTGAGGAAATTCATGGTAAGGCTTAGGGGTTCATGCAGTTATGAATCCTGAATACAGCATGCATTTACTGATATTTTCTGAGTGAAAAAATGTGGGCTATGTATCATTTGAAAAGAAGTTAATAAAATTGATTATGAGATTTTAAACCAGCTGTGGAGAGACAGCCCCCTACCATTTGCTGAAGGTCAAAAGCAAGAACTTTGAAGTCCACGGAAAGTCTGTCTTGTAAATTAGGATTATATGTCACTCCAGATGTTATTTTAAATGTCCCTCTGACTTCATGACTTTTTCCAAGGTCTGCGTCTAGATGAATTAATAAGAAACAAAGCTCTTGATTATTAATAGCAGAGAATATTGCATCCTGGTTTATGATATAGAGGAAACGATACTCATTTATTATACTTCCTCAGTAATTATTTAATTCTTGCTTTTTCTTTGCAGTCCTTTTTTTCAAAACCAGCTACTCCCCTTTCTTTTTTTTATTTTCAATATCTGGTTATTTAAAAGACTAAAAAATATGTAGGCTTATTTTCTTTCCCATTATTTCTTCCTCCTTTCTTTGAAGTCAAGCCATACATTTTTTTTTTTCATTTTCTTTTTGAATTGAGATTCCTGTTGGAAGTCACAGGGCATAATCATACTTTACCAATTATGGGAAGTGACTCAGGAAAACATAGTGAGAAATGGACCATTAAAAGTTGTGTAGCTGCTGTTAGATGTTTCTTGGACCCCAAGCCTCCTGGACACTGCTGGCTTTCTACGTGTAAATTTCTGTGAAGATTTCTGCTCGTGTGTAACTTTGAAACACAGCTTTGAAGCCACTTCTTACATCCTAGTAATTATAAATTTGGCATGCATGACTTTTGGCATGAGACAGGAACTGTCTTCATTGGAGAAGCTTTTGAGAATGATGTAGAAAATACACAGTCTCAGTGGGGAAATAATATAAGATGTGGTGAACAAGTTAAACAGTCTTTGTATCTGAATCTTTTCTTTGATACATACTTGTGTTTAAAATGAGTAGCTTTGGCTTAAACTCACAAAATGATAAAACCATTAGTTAATGCAATAATAATATTAAATAATTCCCACAATGGTATGATATGAGATTTTTTTATGTCATACAATAGGGAAATGGGGGCTTAGAATGACATAATATCCCTAATGTAATATATATGAGGAAACATGGGAGTAAAATTTAAAAATATATTTGGTTAGCTATGACGCACAAACTCCCCTCGGCACATAAATTTGCAATCCAGAAAAATATTAAGACTAATATTTCAAATGATAAACTTACATTTAGCTTAAACAATTAACATTGTGGGTTGGAGAAATGACAGAGTGGTTAAGAGCAATCAATGTCTGCTCTTTCAAAGGTCATGAGTCAGTTCTCAGCAACCACATGGTGGCTCACAACCATCTGTAATGAGATTGGTGCCCTCTTCTGGTATACAGGAAGAACACTGTATACATAATAAATAAATAAATCTTTAAAAATTTAACATTATATAATCATGTACCTTATTGTTATTTATATAATTTCCATTTTGTGCACAAATTAAATTACATTTAAATTTGGAAAACATTTAAATTAAATTAAATATGGAAAACAGTGAAAGAGTTGAGAGACATCTGATTGAAAGAGGCTTGGAGATCTTTATTAGCATGTCTGTGTATGGAACTGAACTGTGCCCTAGACAGTAGAATGTTGATGGAGAAACCAGCAGTCTGAATAAAGAATATGGACTAGTTAGCAATATTGCACCAATGTGAATTTTTTAGTAGAGACAATTTTTGTGCCTGTAGAAGAAAATAACAAGTTTAGCTACATAAGCATTCTTTATAATCTTTACAGTATTTTAAAATTTTACACACACACACACACACACACAAACACACACACACATATATATATATATATATATATAAAACAATAATCAAGGAAAAAGGCTACCAACTTGAGAGTTGGGGTAATTGACAGGGTTTCAAGGGAGGTAGCTGGGAGAGGAAACAGAGGATGAATGTGATAAAAATCTACTTTGATTAAAGATGTTAAAATTTATAATATTTCCATAAGTGCAAAATTAAATAACCATAATAAACCTTAATTCTTCTGTCTTATTATTAAAGTCAAATTTCTCTTTATTGTGAGTTATTTCTCATAATATTTCTCAAAAGCATCAACATTTACAAATAATGTCCATATTATAGAATAAATAATGACATATCTTTTATGAGCTCAAAAATTCCAATAGACAGCAAAATTATTTTTATAGAGAAATATATGACTTTTATGATGATCTTTTTTTGACTTTTTTATTTGAATTACAAACAAGATTGAATTACATGACAATCCCAGTTCCCTTCTCCCCCCTTCCTCCCCTACCACCCCCCAACTAAAACCCTACCTCTCATATATCCTTTCTTCTAATCTACACCTGACTCAACCTTTCTGCTCCCTCATGACCTCTGAATTCTTCCTTTCCTTCCCTTCTCAGTCTCATAGCCTCCTCCCCCCTCTTCCCATGTTCTCAATTTGCTCAGTGGATGGTGACCCTTTCCCCTTCTCCAGGGGACAAAGTTTGTCTCTTTTAGGGTCCTCCTTGTTTACTAGTTTCTCTGGCAATGTGGATTGTAGGCTGGTAATCCCTTACTCTATGTCTAAAATCCATATATGTGTGAGTAACCCAATCACAAAAAGACAAACGTGATATGTACTCACTCAAAATTATTATTTTTTAAAAGTTATTTGAAGCATGTAAATAAACCTAAACCACCAATTTTCTAAAACTGTAAGTGAAACTTGTGTATTGATCATGCTAAATATAAATATTCATCTTAAAGGCAGATGTCTTCTAGATGGTTATAATATTTAAATTATCAGGTTTTATACTAAAGTTATTTTTATAAAGCTACAAATTCTTTTTATTATATCCAAATTCAAATATTTATTTGTCAGGGGAAAATAGCTTATCCCAAAATACTTGCTTATCAAAACTAAGGTGACTCAAATAAATTCTATTTGTTCATTTTTAGAATTAATTCACCCACATACAATTCATCATTTTAAAACATAAATTAAATTTTATTTAAAAAATCTTCAGTGCCCCGGCTATTGTGATGATTCTGACTATATATTTATCTTATAAGTGAATAGGTGATTATTAGGAATAAATTCTCAGAATTGAGGTCCAGTTTGTACTCTGATGTCTTCTATATTCTCCAATTCTTTGTTCCAGATTCATAACCCAGACAGTGAAACACCAATAAATATAAAGTAAAATATTTGTTACACCATGCTATTATATTTGAATGTCTTTGAAAAGTTTTTGGCCCATATTTGCATAATTCTACACAATGACATTTTAGTTTTCTTCTTTTTTTCTTATCATATTACTCCTCAAGCTGAATAAAATTCTTATAAGTCTGTATTTATGTATTTATGTTTGGATTTATCAGCAACATTTTAGGTCAAAAAACAGAATAAAGATATTTTATGTAAATGGACAACAGTGTTCACTTACTCCTCATGTCTATGGGCTTTTATAATCCACGATGTTTTAACATGTTTATTATTTCAAATTTATCACTATGAGTATGCAGACTGTGAAACCTACTATATTATATGTTGATATAAAACTGAATATTATTTTGCAAAAAAATTTAAAATATTTTCTTCCTAAATTTAAATTTGTGGTTGTCTTAAATGACATAACACCTGATTTTTTAATTTTCTATGAAGTAAAGTATCCAGAACCACTTAAATGAAACAAAAATATGTTGTGGTGTAGCCAAAGTAACGAGTAAATATCAACAAAGACTGACTTAGCCCGGCGGTGGTGGCTCATACCTTTAATCCCAGCACTCAGGAGGCAGAGGCAGGAGGATCTCTGTGAGTTAGAGACCAGCCTGGTCTACAAGAGCTAGTTCCAGGACAGCCTCCAAAGCCACAGAGAAACCCTGTCTCGAAACCTGACCCCTCCCCAGCAAAAAAGATTAACATAGAGCATGTTCCTTGTTTAAGCGCACGGCTTACCTGTTTCTGATTCCTTGATGGCCAGCCAGGCCACTGCAATTAACCCAGCACAGAGGGCAACAAGAATAACGAAGAGAGCTGAGAGCATTGCTTCGAAAGAGCTAAGAGTACGATGTCCTACAGCCATCTTTCTGTTTGACTTCATTTTTACTTTTGAAAGATGGATAATGTAGGAACTGTGAGAGACTACAGTTTTTCACATCAGCAAAGCCAATGCTTTAAGACTAACTGTAGAGTAAAATCTATTAAGTTCCCAAGGATTTTAAAGGCACCAACTACTCAAGCCAACACTGACAGTCTTCAGCTGTGTGTGTCCCTCAGGAAATGGTGTGTCTCTATGCCTTCAGTATCTTTAAAAGGGGCAGTTAATATTTAAGAAGATAGAGTGAGTGAGCAAAGATGCATAGAGTTGTAAATTACAGTCATGTGAGCAGGCCATTTGTCAGGGTAAGAGAAATGAAATGAATGTCATAAACAAAAAAAAATGACCCTTAGTCTCCTTGAGAACTATTAAAAAACCATGAAAATGATAATAGAAAAGTTGGTCATTAGGGAATGCACTTGATATTTGCATAGGTGTCCCTAACAGATTAACCTTCTGCCCTGTGACTCAGGTCTTCCTCTGTGGGAAGGTAAACAACACCCAAACCACAACATACATAGATGTATGCTATAGATAGAGTATCTTAGTCTACTCCTCCGTTTGTTCCTTCCTACTTCCCCCTTTCTCTTACATGTATGTATGTGCACATAGATATATCATTGAAATAAACAGAAGCCTTGTGAACCTTCTTACATCACTCTTGAAGTTATGCAATGTAAGGCAGTATTGATTTTATTTAAAGGAGAGTCCACTTAGGCATCATAGGGCTACTCTACATGATATGAGCAATTAATTATCAGTACCTGGGATTAATCACTCTAAGTAAAACAGAGTGTTGATTTCTATTTTAAGAAAATTGCTAGGCAAAGGAGACCTTGTTCACTTATTGGTGTACTTTATCATCTAAAATATGCCAATATAACAAGAGAACAGGTTAAGGTGTCCTTAGCAGACATCTTCACTGCAGTAACCGTAGACCTGTGCATTCCAGGAAAAGTGAAACTTTTCTTATAATTAAAGAGGATGTACAGTTGAAACTTACTTAACTTGTACAGTAATGAGACCAGAATATAAATTAATCAGTCAACTATCCAATTAATCAGTTGCATCTAATCTACTCAGGAGTAAACCATATACTTTTTTTCTGCTAGATATTATTACATTCATGAGCTCTATTATAAGAGTAAAAACCACACATAAAGCATAAAATTAAAAATACAAATGGCTATATTTAGGTTTAGAAGTAATACAAAAGTTCAGATTCGGAACCTTACTTCTCATACTGAGTGAGTCACCTTACTCAGCGTTAATACATGGGGAGGTGCTCAATCTTATTGCTCCTTGATATGCTATGTTTTGTTGATATCCATGGGACACCTGACTTTTTCTGATCAGAAACAGAGGAGGAGTGGATTGGAGGGTGAGAACAGCAGGGATGGTGTGGCCTGGAGGGACTGGGAAAACGGAGGGAGGAGAAACAAAAAAAGAAAAAAAATCCCTTTCACATCAGATACATACATACATACATACATACATACATACATACATACATACATATATCTGAGTTTAGTGTGTGTAAATAAGCACCTGGAAGAGTGTCTTGTTGAAGATAACAATTTATGAAGGACAGTCTGAAATTAAACAAGTGGATGTGAGAAGTAGTATGTCATGTCTTGAAATGTACAAAGAAAACTGTTAAAATAAAATCATAGCTGCCTTATCAGGTAACAGAACTCATTGTACAGCTATATCAACGGGAGCATAGGATCAGTGAAGGATCAGAAATTCAACTCAGTGTAGAACAAAGAGCCCAGACACAACTTGATTTGTGCATTGAAAACATCATACATTAAACGTAGTGCTATTGTTAATACATGAGGAAGAATAGCAATTCAAGGAGTGGGGCTGAGATGATTTCTTATCCATCAGCCAAATAAATAAAATTAGATCATTATCTCACAGCCTTAGGATGAATAAATTCAAGGTGGAGCAAATATACAGGAGAACTACATATAAATTTAGAAGAAAAATGCAGTGTTATTTTGACAGTTTCAATTGAGTTTTAAATAATAGCATAAAACAAGGAGAATTATACTGATAAATTTCCCCAATAATAACTCAAAAATTCTTAAACCAAAACCAAAGTCAAAGCCAGAGAACTGGTTGTCATAATACCTTTCTATGTCTGTTTGTAACATTAGACATTAGATCACTGTTTTAACATGAATATTTGGGAAGCAGGTCACAGGAGGTCACACTAGGAAAATGATGACGTAAAAAACTGTACATAGAAAATAAAGCCAGTGTTGCCTGTGTGGTCAAGTTGATAGGCACCTGAACTGTACCTTGTCAGTACCTTTGGGAGCCAAAGAGAGCAGGCTCAAAGGTCTGCCAGCTACTAGTAAGTAGGATCATTAGTCAATCCATATCTATAACCATTGTGGGAGACTGACTCCACAAATACCTTTTCACTCTGCTGTGTTCAGTTAGTCCTGCCTGGGAGAATGTGGGCGCATCTCTGAGATGCTAGATTAAGCATTTAGGAGTCAAGGAAAGTTCATGTGGCTGGAGGATTTTTTATGTTGCCTGCTAAATATTAAAATGAATCCATGGGCCTGAACTGGGTCCTCCATATGTGGGAGGCAGTTATGAAGCTTGGATTATCAGAGGGGCCCCTTGCAGTAGGACCACGATACAAACCTGGTATATGAGTTAGCTTGTTGGAGTCCATTCCTGAGGCTGAGATGCCATGCTCAGTGGCAACAGGACCACTGTATAATCCTGGTACATGAACCAGCTTGTTGGAGCCAATCCCCTATGGTAGAATGCCATGCTCAGTCTTAATGCACGGGAGAGGGGCCTGGTCCTGCCCCAACCTATTGTGCCAGGCTATGTTGACTTCTCATGGGAGCCCTTATCCATGAGGAGGAGTGGACTGGGCCGGGCTCGAGGGGGAAGTAAGGGTGTGTGGGAGGCAGGATGGGCTGGAGAACTGTGGTTGGAATGAAAAATGAAATAAAAAATGAAAAGTGGAAGAAAAGGAGATAGAAAATAAAGTATATGGAAGAGAAAGGAAATGAGAAGGGAGAAGGGTGGCTATAGGTCAGTATGGAGTAAATGTAAATGTGATGCATTTGTGAAAAACTGGTAATGCGGCATCTGCTGCTTTGTCAAATTATATATAACAAAATAAAGACAATAAGGAACTTTTTAAAAAAAAGAATGTCTAATTGTTTTAGTACAAGTAGCGGGAATTTAACAAAAATGGGAAAAACAGAACACAATAATATAAACAAAACAAAACCACCTCAACACCACTAAAGTCAAGCAAAATGAAAAAGAAAAAAAATTAGATAAATACAGGAAAAATGTGTCTGTAGGTATAGAAATATAATTAATTGAAGAAATCAACCAAAAACATTAAAAATATGGGCACTATAAAAAAGTGGCTTTTCTTTCTTGCTGGACAAAAAACTTCCTGTCCTCCAATTACAATCCACAAGTCCTATCCCCAGCTTTGTCAAAGGCCATCTTCTGTGCCTTGTCCTTCCTATCTACCTCCATTCGCTGGGGTCTATACATCGCCCAGCAAGCATAAGACTAGATATCAGGACCAAGAACTACAATTATCCCAAACTCAGATTTTTTAAATGTCAAGCATAAAAACATAATAACAGTCAGGAGAGCATACTTCCACTAAAGCTAATCAACTCTACTATAGTAGGCCATAAGAAACACAAGACAGCTGAAACACAACACAATGACTTCAGAATAGCTATTATCCATATCTGCAAAGTCCTTAAGGGGGTTATGAATGGATCCACTATTTAAATCTATGGAAACAGAAACAAACATGGAATGAAATGAATAAAACGGTACAAGACATGAAAGTGCAACTAGAATGAATAAAGAAAATACAAACTGAGGGGAAACCAGAAATGAAAAATTTAAGAATTTAAACAGAAAACACAGATGCAAGCATCACCAACAGAATATATGATGGAAGAGATAATCTTTGGCATTGAAGACAAAATAGAAGAAATGAATACATCAGTCAAAGAAAATGGGGTGCTAGGGGAGGACGGGAGGGAGAAGGGAACTGGGATTGTCATGTAAAACAATCTTGTTTCTAGTTCAAATAAAAAAATCTGGGAAAAAATGAAATAAAAAAAGATTATATCTATGCTTAAACAACATAAGGAAGATAGGCCTGTGCACAAGAGAACAGTGAATTATTCACTACATTTTGTAAGACATAAAAAAGGAAACAAATAAAACACAATTTTGTAATATTAAAAAAAGAAACTTTTAAATTTAAGAAAAACCTTGGCACAAAACATTCAGGAAATCTGAGACATTATGAAAAGAGCAATAATTCAAAAAAGACTATGACTAGTAGGAATAGAGGGAGAAGAAGAAACCCAGGTCAAATGTACAGAAATTATTTTCAACAAAATCATAGAAGAAAATGTTCCCCTGCTAAAGAAAGACGTGCCTATATCAAGGTACAAGAAGCACACAGACAACCAAATAGTATCAGAAAGGAAATTTTCCACAGTACATGATGATCAAAAACCAAATGTGCATAACACAGAGAATATTAAAAGCTGCAAGAGAAAAAATACTAAATAATGTAATTGGACATAAAGCAAGTCTTAACAGATGAAAGAAAATTGAAATTATTCCTCTCATCCTATCTGGCCACCAATGATTAAAGCTGAATATCAACAACAGAAAGCTTACACACTCCTGGAAAGTGAATGTCTCACTACTGAGTGAAAATTGGGCCTGGACTAAAATTGGAAAAGATATTAGGAGCTTCCTAAAAAATCGAATAAAAATGAAAACACAATGTAGCTAAACTTATGGAACATAATGAAGGCTGTTCTAAGCATAAAGTTCATACACCTAAGTCCCTACATTTAAAAAATGGAGTTATGATACTAGTAACATATTAATACACCTGAAAGCTCTAGAGCAAAACAAAGAAATAACACTCGAAAGGAGTAGATGGCAAGAAATAAACTTGGGACTGAGATCAA